GAAACATCGAGACAACTGTGACTCCTAAGGAAACTGGGCTGTCACAGAACCAGGGGTAACAGATCAGAGAAACGTCAGAGGAGTTTAATGCTCTGATGCTTTATTTAGGTACAGTACGTATGTGGTCTCGTTGTTAATGTGTGTCTGTGGATGTTTCCTAGAGTGACACTGTTATCTGCTCCCTTTAAAATTTCTTCTTTGTTACATGGCTTTGTTGCACCTGTAACTCAGGACTCTGATCAAGACAGATGTGCATTTATTTTTCACACCCCTAGTATGTTTCTAAAGACTGAGGTGTGCTTTGGACGAGACATACTCGGCACTAAAAACAGGCCTTTTCTTTTGCTCCGTCTGCTTCTGCATCTCATCAGGAGCTGCACAGTTTGAGCAACTAGCCAAGAAAGAGGAAGGAGAAAAAAGAGAAGTGGGGAGAAGATGAGAGGATGATATCTTTAGCATAGCACCTCTACATAATTATTAAGACCACTATGAAAAACTGCAGCAGTAAAGCCTTCAGACATATGCCAGAGGCGTTAACAAAAACTCAGGGGAGGTCTGCAGCGACGCACTGGGTGGTCCTGGTCCTTTGCCAAGAACTGCTACAGTCTGGTTTTAATGTCTCCAGCACCTCCCAAACACCTCACACACTCATTACAGCTGTCAGCTCTATCACCTCTACCTCCTCTTCCCTTATGTCCTCCTTTTAGTTTTGTCCTCTAACAAGTATTGGAATAAAATCTACCCTAACAGTCTTGGTTTAAGAACCAGCTCATGTCCTGTCCCCAGGAGAAACTGTTTGGGACAAACCAAGAGGTTTTGCTCTGACTAAAACCAGGTTAAAAGGAAAGGTCTGCTGGCTCTGTGATGTGTATCTGGCTCCAAGGAAGACAGTATTTTCTGCACATGGAAAGATGCAGGATAAATGCATGAGAGGGGGAATCTACAATGAAGTGGCATTTCCCCAGTGGGTCTGTACAATAGCTGTGCAGCAGTGGGCATGAAGATAAAACAAAGCAGACCCTCTACAGCGGCTGCTGCAGTGCTTCCTGTTTAATCCAGCCCAGGAACCCGTGCACTGGGACGTGCTGGAATCCTCCTGACAATATTCATTAAGGTGTGAAATTGAGCAGCAGAACTGGCCAGACTGTAATCACACTGTGGTTACTCTTCGTTCTCTCACACACCCACCTATTCTCTCCTGCTCTCTCTGTTTCTACCCAGCATCCCCTGGGGCAGGTCTCCCACACTCAATGGAAACGCTTGGCCAGATTGTTCAGAGTATATTAACATGCCCACGGGGTTTCGCTCACTCAGCCACGGTTTCATTTAGTGGTCCCGGCTGTGGAACAGTGGGAGACCTTCGAGGTAGATTGGCTGAGTAACGGTCACTGATGATGTAGACGGTCTGGTTGTGTGTGTGCCCTGCATTAGCACTGTGTACAGTGAGACTCTGTCTCCTGTCTTACTTTTATTAACTTTTAAAACTGCAGAGAGTCTTGGCAGGTTATAAAATAAGAATGCAGGTGTCGATGTGAGCCACATACATTGTGTGTATAACTACATCTCCTGTGATGTGGCAGGGATCAGGGTGCGTAATATCAGCTGGAACAATCCTCAGAGACATAAGGATTCAGGAACAAAACTGAGTGTCAGGTGTAACAATTTCTGGTTTTATTCCACATAATGTGGACGACATTCGACACAGCTTCCCAGCCATCACAGCAGGATGTTTTTGTTCGCTCTTAAATAGTCTGACAACATCTTTAGTGCTTTGTTCAACAGACAGCTGCAAAAATGGCAAAGCAAAAGAGGACTGATGTTTTTGTGTTGCCGGCCCCAGCACCTTCTTACTGTACCTGTCACTTCTCTACATCTAGCAAGTAGCAAGACACTGTGATTGTTTGCTGTACAATGTGTCGTCTGATGTCGCCTGACGTGACATCAGACGACAATCTCAAAAGGCAAGAAAATTATGTAATCAGGTCCATGAATAAGCTTTTATTTCCTCTGTTAATGTACATACTGCAGGCAACAGTGAACGTCAGACATCTATTAGTTTTTAATGCCCCAATAAAATGTTGTGCAGGCTGCCAGAAACCATAAAACCACTATTTCCTACTTTACACTTCTACTAATCATTTAATGTTTATTTATTTTTAATAATTCTTAACATATCCAAGTTTTTGTTCATTGCTCCAGATGAGCTGCGGCGCCCCCTGAACAACAAAGGTCATATTTTTGAAACAGGATTCTGTCCTGGCAAAGACGTTCAGCTATTTGCTGTGGCTGTCACCTGATGAAAGACAGAGGGTCGGTAGCGTGAGGTCGCAGTGCTGATACTGAAACACACTCGGCTTCAGTTGAGTGAAATAAAAATAACAGGAAACTGAAAAGCCAAATAAAGTCTCTGCAGAGCGCTAATTTCAAAGGAGTGCAACTCCAACAGAGAAGAGAGGGAGTAATATTGCCAGAAATGTACAAAATACAAATTCAAATTCGAAAAAACGTTTTGTACT